ACCATAACAGAAAGGAGCACATTGGTATCGACAGACAGGACCGGGCATCCAAGAATCAGCAACAGCACCCCCTCCCATCACCACGTACATCTCCATCTAATCACCTCTCACTGCAGAGCCCCAACCACTCCGAATGACGAAACACAACCTGAGCACCACAGCTCACCGCATAGCAGCCGTCTCATCAGAATGCGGGGTCCCAATGTTGAATCCCCAGGCTGGAAGTTATCGACAGCCCTTTCCGCTGCGCCCCCACAGCCGATCTCATCAGCACCGTTAATCACGAACATTATTGTGACGCCGCCACGGCTATCCTATTGGTACGTTCATGTCCGTCTCCAAGTGTAACACGCCTCGCGTCCGCGACAGAGACCCGAATTGGACGGGGACATGCATGCCCCGGCATGGCGGAAGGGCTCCGCGTTGTGTGTACGCCGCGAACACGACGGGCATTGCAGATGACGAGAAGCTTTGTTCTACTCGAACACATCTGCCTCCAACTCGCCCATAACACGACAGAATGTCCATTCGACCAAGACCAGCCGTCTGCCTCGCCATATTAATGTTACAATCCGGGGGAGGGGGACGAGACTCGTATTGAGAATATTTAGGGTAGCAAGTGATAGCTCACCAACACCAAGACAAGATCCAGCGTTTATATCCACAGAGTCCAATTCGTCTAGATTTAAAGAAGCCAGCAGTCATCATCTCAGTTGCAGTTTATCCGACTCCGTCCGGGCCAAGGCATGATCGTCCCGGCAGGAAATGAAGTTTGGAGATTCATGTGCCGGGCTGCCAGGACGACACGCCTATAAGCAGCACACGCCTCCTCCAAGTTGCATCCGTGTAGAAAACACACCGGCGTTAATGCAGCCACTCCAAGCGAGCCGTTTCATACATTCACAGCATGCAGGGACCGAAGCGCCGCTCGTCGCTGTGCCGTCCGCATACCCGGGGCTGGATGTGCATGAGGCATTATCTATCGTCTACGTAGTGAGGAGGCGGGTTCTTGTTGTGATTTAGCCGTACGAGCCAGTCGCATTGCTCGATTGTCGTGACAGACTCGAGTTTTCAGGACAGTTTGGCTGCTGCGACGAGGAAGATCACAAGCTAGTTTTCGGAAAGCGAGCCAAGACGAATACAGACTTGGCCATGTAAACCAATTCCGTCATCGACAATCCAGGTGGTTATGACCGTTTGCCCGTCGTACTGGCGACATTTCGTGACGTGTCAAGGTAATCGTGGATGTGCCCCGGACTTGGAAAAAGTACCAGGCAGAACATGCATTAAACCTCAAATAGAAGTGTCAAGCTGGTCAAACCACCAATGGAGTCAGACAGATGTGCTCGAGGTCGTCAGGACTGTGAAGAATGAAGGGGACCAGATACTATCCGAGGTTCCACTTTCACGGCTACGAACCGGATACGAGCCGTTGCTTTGTGGAACGCCTTGGCTTGTTCTTGGAGCCTATGAGGTTCTTTTTTTTTTTGCAGGAATTGGCGTGGTTCCAAAGCAGTTAGGGAGTGTAAAGAGCCCCAAAATAGGAGTCACTCTAGGCGAAGACAGGTGGTTTTTTTTATGCAAATGCGGCTGACGTGATGTTCGCATACTCGGCCGCATGATGTGCTCGGTGATGGGCGTTGAACTGAGTGGCTGTGATTTTGGTTCGTCCAAATTATTCAATTGCACGCGGATCCTACTGAGATGGATGACAACGATGCAGATATCCATGTTGCCTGATGCTGAGGGTGCATCCATACAACTTCTTGTACGATAAGCATGATTCATTCTTACAAGCCGCAGGTTTCGTCAACCCATTGGGTAGAGGTTCTTTCAAGTGCTGGAAGCTCCAAGGTTACAACCTCGGGCAGGTCTGCATACTACCGTCATTGTCAACACTCAGCTGGGCCATGTTGGAGACCGTGTAAGACATCTTGTCATATCAACCGATCTATTTACAGCAATCGATCCACAATCACTAGCCACAGTTAGCACCCAAATCCCAAAGTCAGGAAGGCTCACAATCACCATGCCTGATCTCATCCCTGCCTGTTAAACTGCATGCGCAAAAACGATGCTGGCGGGTTGGAGAACACCGGCACATCCCGGATGTGAGCCTCGGAGCAACAAGAGTACTTCCCAGCGTCATGCCCGACGACTTTCACCGTCCGCGGCGGTGTGGTCCGTCGCGCCCACCATCTATTGTGCTGGCCATGGCATTTATGGGCTGTCTTGCTGAACAGAGGTCGTTCCCGTTGTGCCAAGTGCTTTGAGCAACCGTGGTACCTACGAGGCTCATTTCTCGAGACGGCGAGGGCGACGCCTCGATGCGCGACATTCCACTAGTTGGTTCATTCACCTAGTCATCGGTCCAAGCTCTTGGCTGACGAGTGGTGCCGAGACCCTTGCGATGCATGAAAACAGTCGGCTCGGATCATCGTAATTACTCACTTGTCCTCGGTGTTGACCAGGTCAATTAATTGTTACCTAGGTGAGGGTCAGTCGTCCGTGATTGATCGTGAGCAGCAAAAAAAGGACCATCTGCTACATGACCTTGCCCAGCCGACTACTTTTCGTCATACGACTGTCATGTCATCGTCGACCTTTTGATCCTCGTTTCCATTTTACGCAGGCGGACAACTGGGGCGAAGGCGGTTTGAGGGCCATAGTAAGCCGCCATCGTTGCGCAAAATTGCGACACGGCTTGACTCATAGCTGGGAGTCACATCATCCGCCTAAACATAACACCAGTGATCACAGCATCTATGATCTTGTTTTGCCAACTGCGCTTACACCGTCTCTTCACGCAGAAGCTGATATCTGATCGCAAGGACGCATCCATTGTTCCATTTGACTGAATTTCATAGTAAACCGCCGCGAAGTGGCCAGCATAGCTCCGAAAACGGGAGTGAAGGTGTCACTTCACAGGGACATGATTCATCCAATGTTTTAAGGCTGGAGATAGGCGGGTTGGTAGATAACGAGCGGCTTGCATCGCTCTTATCAAGGTGCGGACTGAGAGGCTCAGATAAGCGCCAAGGTGGGATTTGATCTGCCTACACTCCCCCCAATGACCGACAAATTAAGGCTGCCTCCAAATCTGCCGATAGGCGCCTGCTAGCCATGTTTTGGCCAAGCTGAATCGCTTTCCTCAAAAGAAATTAATCCCAATGCTCGAACACCGCTTGGTGCGCGAGTTGACAGCATAACGATAGATTCTCACACCACCACGAGGTTCTGTGGCCAAGCCAACGATGAGCTGCACCATTTGTTCTCCACCCTGTTGCATTGCATGGCATAAGAACCATGCAATAGCAAAAGGTCAGAGATGCCGGAGCAAAGCCTCAGAAAGGATGGCCGGATCAAGACGCCTTCTCACCGGGTTTCCAGGCCGTATTCCCACGGCGCAAGCACAGGACGCATTCATTGATGTACGTGCGTACGTGACGGCCAACCATCCAAAGATGGTCACTGGCGGTCCAAGACAAAATTTCAAGATATTGTGCTGGAAAGCGGGTCCCATGGAGGTTTGTTTTCGATAAGCCATTCGACACCGAAATGATGTCAAACCTTGATTTGATGGTGGTGCCTTCGGCAAGCCGCCCGCCGCGGAGAGGCTGCTTGAGATGCCTACTCTGGCCGTCTTCTCCGTTTGTTCTTTTCTTTTTCTTTATTTTTCCTCATGGTGGAATTGCAATGTGATTCTTCCTGTGTCCTGAGGACCAATCCGTCAATTGCTCTTGATCCTGAGTAGTAGTAATAAGAGTTCGTCGGAATGTGGTCAGGCCAGTTTGCCCCGCCTTGGCAGATGATTGTTTCAAACCCCAGCCAAGAGCGGTTTGCGTTGGCGTGTTGCAGATTCAAAGGAAGAAAAGGCAAGGCGCCGTTAGACTTGAACATGCCATGCTTGCTATACTGACAGCAAAATCTGTAGAGCTCTGTGGGGCTGTCTGTCAATGGTGGAATTGGGCTCCTCTCTGGCGGCTTCTCACACATGCTGCTGATATGGCGTGCCATGGCGGTTGGCCAGGGATGTATCTCAGCAGACTGTCACATGCCAAACACACGACAACTGGTACACATGGCTTGCTCCATGATCGACCAGAGCAGACCAGCACCAGCACCGTCTCACGTAACAGTACGAGGCAACAGATGGGGTAGTGGCTGAGCAGCTGCGGCCAATTGCGTCGTGGACCTCAAGAGCAGAGTGCATTGCAAGCGGGCGACGATAGCAAGCGGCAACCAACGCGTAGCCCATCCGGCGGTACAATTGGCACACGGTCCATGCCTGAAGCTCTACTCAAAGCCTCTTTGTCTGCTAGTGCTCCGTACCCTGCACTATGTACCTGTTGCCCGTTGGTTAGCCAAGGGGATTGTTGAGGTGGCAGGATACTCAAGTGGATAATGTGTGGCGGCGTTTGGCAGCGCATCGCGCCGCTTGCGAAAGGCCAAGGTCTTCTTGACGAAACATGGAAGAGGAGACGACATCTGGGCATGGACATCTGAAGCCTCTGCCTGGCCCACAATTGCTGCCATCCCCTGCTCCTGCCTCGTCTGCCGCCTGCCCCATGTCTCGAGCTTGTCTGGGCCACTTTCACATGTTCGCCGCACAACCCTCAGCCCAACGCCAAAGGAACGCCAAAGCCAACGCCAATGGGCTGCCAGGTTTGTCGTGCCCGCGAATTCTCCCTCCAACAGGCCGCTTTTGCCTCTGAGAGTGGAAACAAGTTGTCTTTGATAAGTGTCTGGCCCACGCCAGTTTTGCAAGTGGCGTTCCCGACCTGCATCTATCCTTTTTAATCATTGACTTCTCCCGTCTACAAGAACAACTGAACCCTCCCTTCTTTCACCACCACCTTGAAAAACGCTCCATCTTGAGTTATTTACCCAACAAAGGGCCCTTTGTCAAACGAGTCTTGTTTACTCGCCTCACTCACGTCCACGTCCCGCTCTCCCTCTCTCCCACACACACACAAAACACAACGCCCACCACATTCTCAATGGCTGTCCCTCAGGTCAATGGCGATGTTTCGCCCCGTCCCAACTCTGCTTTCCTCCAGGTATGCTGCAGCTTCACAGTATAGGATCAAAGCTTCAGCTAACAGATACACTTTTCAAGCACCTCCTCGCCTACCCTTTGATCAGCGATAGCATCCACACTGTCAAGGCCAACGAGTACGCTCAGCGCTCCATCAAGCTCGGCGATTCTGCCTACCAGACTTTTGCTGCTCCCGTCCTCCCCTGGCTCGCCAAGCCCTACGAGTACGTCTCTCCCTACGTCGCTCGGGCCGACTCTCTCGGTGACAAGACCCTCGACCGCATCGACGAGCGCTTCCCCGTCGTCAAGAAGCCCACTAGCGATCTGTACAACGACACTCGCAGCCTGATTTTGCTCCCTTACAACAAGAGTATCGAGGGCCGTGACCACATCTTTGACGTCTATGCCAGCGAGGCCAAGAAGATTGAGCAAAAGGGCCTTGTTGGCCAAGGAAAGGCCGCTGTCTCTACCGCCTTTGTCGTCAGCAACGAGACCCTGGGCTGGTTAAGCAGCTTCCTGGCCGCCAAGAAGGCTGAGGCCACCACTGTCGTCAAGGAGAAGGTCAAGCAGTAGATGTCCAAAGTACACAAGGCGGCCTACATCCATTCCAGCACTTGGCTGACCTACTTCGGCCGTCTTGCGTCATGAGATGGCCTTTTTCACCCTCTTTCCTAGGTTTGATGGCTTAAAATTTGTTTGGGCTTTATGTTGGCGTTTTTGAAGGTTGCTGGCTTCCACGATCCCAAATATCATTCATACAAGTGGAGGATGGCGGGACTTGACAGTCATGCACAATTTGGCGGCGAGCTCATTATACCTCGGAATTCTTGGGCATAGTTATCTGCATTTTTGTATCAAATCATCTCTCTCATTTGTTTCTTCCTCGAAATCTTTGCATTCGCAGCTCAACTCAGGTTGCATGACGATATACATGAGAGTCTATGCCAATGCCAAGGGTCCGGTCATTGGCTTCAGAAGTCCTAGAGTGCACGCAAAGTCTTGTTTTATTTGACCCTGTGTTGTTTTTCTGGTCTGGTAACAAAGCCATTTGTCTCTCCTTGCGAAAAAGATGAAACCAAAAAAGCATAGAAATGGATGGATACTTGGCATAGGGATCGCAACCCCATTTTGGAACGGCCTCTGACGATGATCGGAAAAAGGAGCAAAAGAATACCAAATGAAAAATACTTAATAGACGAGTTAACAAAATGTTCCCTGTCCTTATCCATGGCTCCATTGACCTTGTAGTTGTTGCATATGAATGTCTGACAGTGTTGTCCTCGTGGCCGGTGACGAGGAGCGGGAAAACAAAAGAAAAAGTGCTTGAGTACGGTACGCCACTGCTTGAATTCACATGTGAAAGGAACCCACATCCTTTTCTTGGCGCAATTCAAGGGTCTTGTTTTTTTTTTTAGACCTGCACCCCCAGCAGCGGTACCTGGTCTCCGACCCGGGTATTTCGCATTCGTTTGTTCCATGGGCTTTGGTTTCGCCCTTCAGCTTGCTTTGTTGGCATGTGATGCGGCAGTTGGAAGTCGTCTGTGGTGCTCCGTACTTTGGTCGTCACTCCGAAGGGGCTGGTGTGGCTAGAACAGCACTGTCAAGCAAGTCCACATGTCTAGTTCAGCAGACGAATGCGTACAGGATCTCTACCCTGCAGCGGATGCCTTGGCCGGCATGGGTTCTGGAATCACCACGAATTGGCCTGAGCAATTGCTGACTGTGGTGTTTGTCCGCACCTGTGCTTCTACGCCTCAAGGCACTGCTGATGTAAAAGTGACTAAGGTGGGGTTAATTCCCTGACATTCCCATCAGCCAATCACGTCACCCAATTGGCACCCTTTCGCAGCCAATCGAGCTACAAACGACAGTTACAGAGTAGTATGGTAAGCATGACAGAGCTTCCCCAAGCTCCCGCACCAGCAAGATGAGGGGAGAACAGGAGATTGTTGGATGGCTTAAAAACAGCCGCATTTCTCATGCATCACCAATCCCCTTGGTTTCGAATCAAATGATAAAAAACTCAAAATACCACACTCACTTCCGTCATCTTCTAGATTGCACTACAAGCAGCCACACACACCCCCGCGCAACGCAAAACGTCTATAAATTACCGTCGCCGCTCCCGCCCCCAAACCCATGAAGCATTTCCGAAGCACACTCATCACAGCAGTCACAATTGGCATTGTAGCAGCCATCGTCTCCAAATACACCAACATTACTGCACCAACAACAAAAACAGCAGCAATAACTACTACTACTACTACTACTACCACCATTACTACTTCATCCAGCTCCAGCAAACCCGCCGCCATCCCGCTCTACACCCCGCCAAGCAAACACATCGAAGCGTCAGCAATGTCAGTCCCCCGCGCCATCCGCAAGGCCTTCCTGGCCGTCGAGCAGTCCGAGGGCGCAGGCGCGCGCGTCCGCCGGTCCATCGGCACGCCGCAGCTGCGCAACTTCTCGCCCTTCCTCATGCTCGACCACTTCTCCGTCTCGCCCGGCGCAGGGTTCCCCGACCACCCGCACCGCGGCCAGGAGACCATCACGTACCTGCTCGAGGGCGCCACGGACCACGAGGACTTCGCCGGCAACAAGGGCACCCTGTACCCGGGCGACCTGCAGTTCATGACGGCCGGCCGGGGCATCGTGCACGCAGAGATGCCCCGCAAGACCGACGACGGCAAGCCCAACGTCGGCCTGCAGCTGTGGGTTGATCTCCCCGAGAGCCTCAAGGCCTGCGAGCCGCGATACCGGGACCTCCGCGCCGCCGAGATCCCCACCGTCGACGTCGACGCCGGCAGGGCCACCATCAAGGTCATCTCCGGCCAGAGCCACGGCATCGACTCGGTCAAGGACCTCGCCTACACCCCCGTGTGGATCCTCGACCTCGTCCTGCGGCCCGGCGCCAGCGTCACCCAGCCCCTGCCAAAGGGCTGGAACGCCTTCTCCTACGTCCTCGAGGGGAGCGCCTGGTATGGACAGGGACAGGACCGCACAGAGATTCAACAGTTCCACAACGTCGTCTTTGAGCAGGAGGGCGACGTCGTTCACGTCGAGACTGATGCTGACGCGACAAAGGACACTCGTCTTGGTACGTTACTCCCTACAGCTACCCTATAGCGCGAATCACCCAGCGTCCTTTCCCAGAAGAGTAGAACATGCTTGCTAACATGCGAAACAGTCATCATTGCTGGCACACCTCTCGATCAGGAAGTTGTGCAATATGGCCCATTCGTCCTCAACTCAAAAGAGGGCGTGTACCAGGCCTTGTACGATTACCAAACTTTCTCCAATGGCTTCGAGAGGGCAAAGGACTGGAAGAGCGAAATTGGCAAGCCCATGATGGGATGAAGTCGGATTTGAGCCTGAATATGAGAAAACGATAGACATGCCCGGTTGGCGTTTGTGAATTCCAACATCTTTGATGCGCATGTATTTATTACGAGTTCTGTACACTAGAAGATCATGTAGTCATTTGACATATCGATAATGAACATTTACAAATGCTTCATCCAATCTTGGCACCATGAACCAATTTGCTACTGTAACATTACGTCACCCAACTAAACCTTTTGATTCTCAATCACAGCCAAAACGAGTCACCATTTTCAAAGACCCGAGTCAAAAGTTCGGACCCCAAAAAATTATTCATTAATGTGATATTTGAATGAGAGCAAGAAAGCCAGCCCCTTAAGAACCAGACCAGATTGCCCGGGGGTATCATGAAAACCGCCGCAGGCGGGCCGTAGTTCTGGGCCTACATGAGTAACCCGTAATCGTCCTCGGACCTGTTTTATACCGAGTTTTCTTTCCATCTATAAAAAACACGTTGCAAACCAGATTTCATGCCTAACCTGCTCACTCCATCGTCGGCACTACAAGACGGAACACATAAACCATATGCCTCATTAACCCTCGGCCAACAACCCCAAGATAACTCATCTCCAGTCCACTTGGCAAACTTTGTGTTTAAGATCAACTCGGGAACGTGTACCTGTGCTGATGAAGATTGAGACGTGGTGCCTGAGTATCAAGTATGAACGGGTATTATGTATCAAAAATGTGCAACGTAAAACATCAAAAGAAGGTTGAGTGAATCAAAGAGTTTCTCATCTTAGATGAGGAGAGCGGCAAGGCCGGCAACGGCGAGGATGCCAGGGGCAGCAGTGATCTGGGCCTGTGAACATCAGTCAGTAAGATAATTCCTATCAGGGAAGGTGCGTATGACTTACAGCAAGACCCTTGCTGGTGGAGGTAGCACCACCGTTACCAGTGGTCTGGGAGCCAGCGCCGCCCTCAGAGGTTGAGGAAGCACCGCCATTGCCTTCCGAAGTGGACTCAGAGCCAGAGCCACCAGTCGAAGACTCGGAGCCGGAACCGCCAGTTGAGGACTCAGAGCCGGAGCCAGTTTCGGTGGCACCAGAGCTCTCAGTGCCAGTAGGGCTGCTTACCGCGGTGGCGAGAGTGGTGACAACCTGAGAACCGTTGGTAGTGTAAGTGAGGACAGAGCCGCTAGCGTCACCGTTTCCGCTGTTGCCGCCCTCAATGGTGGAAGTGGCAACTGGGGTAGTGATGACCTTGCCATCAGTGCCGGTTTCAGTGCTGTAGAGGGTAGTCACTTGGGCACCACTGCCACTCTCGCCGGATTGAGTGGCCTCACCACCGCCAGTAGCACTATGAGAGGCCTCACCACTGTTGGAACCAGTGTGAGAGGCGCCAGCACTGTTGGAACCAGTTTGAGAGGCGCCAGCACTGTTAGAACCAGTTTGAGTGGCTTCACCGTTGCTGCCAGTCTGGCTAGGACCGCCAGTTCCACCAGTAATCGCGACACCGGCACCCTCGCAGTACTTCACACCGTACTCGATGACTTGGTTGACATCTTGTTCGCTGCAGATGGCGCGAGAGCAGTCACGGAGACCGTAGGCGAAGTTGGGGTTGCTGCAGAGGCACTTGACGTCGTTCTCCTTGCAGCCAAGCTCCTGGGCCTTTCCTGCAGCAATCATGTTATTGGCACAGGTTTGCTATCACCATCAGGTTAGCAATCAAGACAACCACTGTAGGTTCGGGATGGTGAAGCACTTACACCGCACTTAGCGAGGGCGGCAATGTCCTGAGCAGCAACAGCCGCAACCAAGGTGAAAGCGAAGGCAGCCGACTTCATCTTGACGGTGTTCAGTAGTTGTTTCAGACTAGAATTTCGGAACTTGGTTAGCCATAATTCATATGAGCAGAGCACTCGTACAATATGATAAGTCTGTGCAGGTGAAAACCAGCACGCGCATTCTGCAATGTGTAAGGCGTGGCTTGTCGTGTATAGCTGGGTGGCAACGGAATGGTGAATCGAGGAGTCGTAATGTTGGGGCCGCTATATAGGGCCAATTGTCGCTGCAAAGATTCATCACCGAGGTGTAGCAGGCAGCTCGAGACAGCAGAAGATGGTCCAGAGACGGTTAAATTGACAGTGAAGAGTCTGCATTCCAGACTAAATGATCTCGATGAGCCGTAGCTATGGTGCTCCGGACGGGCGTCGTTCCAAAAGACTCCTTCGTTCCCCTTCCCTTACGAATTGACCTGGGATACTCCATGTGGGAGAAGAGCAGGCGAGGGAGCAGGCAGTGTGACGGCAACGTGACAGATGAAAGCCAAAGGGAACCAAGAAGGAAAAATGCAGACTTACACGTTGATAGTAGACTTGTGAGTGAGATGAGTCTCGATGGCAGGGCAGTGCTTGAGATTGAAGAACAGAGCGTGGGTAGAGAGGAGTAAGGGAGAAGGGAAAAATCAAGGAGGGCAGAAGCAGATTTATGATGTGGACGAGGGCGCCCGAGTGCTGTTGATATTCGCTTCCTAGCCCAAGCCGTGCAAAGCAAGCACCAGTGGGCCAGCCAGACTGCCAAGGCAAGAACAGGTGGCCGGCAGCCGTGTGCCACCTGCCCGGCACCTCAGATGCTGCTCAGGTTCTGCTCAACATTTTGGTGCCTACCCATGGCGCTTCTCGGCCATGAGACGGCCACATAATAGCTAGGTAAACATTAGAGTGACCAGAGGATACGGAGTGCTCCGGAATAGGACCAGCAGAGCTGGGTTTGCCAAGGCAAGGGTGCCGACGGACCAGGTACCGATCCTGGGCTCTATCATGGGCTCGCTGGGCTCAGGCGCACTGGGGCATATCTGGATCCACCTCGGGGGCCCGTCTCAGCTAGTAGTTGACCTTTCCAGCAAAGTTCGTGGGGCCCACCAGCCACCAGCCACCCGCTGCACCCTCACCCTCAATCACTCACCTTCACACGCACCCCCAGGCACCCCAGTTGGCCAGTTGGCCATGCCGTATCTAGAGATCCTAATGAACGCCCTGGTCTGCTCCATCTCTCTTTTCGGTGAGATGTGGCTGTTGAGGCTTGCTGCTGGCCACCATGATTAACCATCGGTAGGCAGGGCAGGCAAGATAGCAAGCCAGACAGGTATTGACAACACACAGGGCCAATCCATCAAGTTGAACTCTGACGGCCGTTGACGGAAATCAAGGGAATATCGCAATTGAGTTGCCAGTCAATCACCAGAGTTACGATGTACATACCATCAACGCTCAAGTCGCAGCACCCGCAACCTCGCCTCCAGGTGTGGTTTTGGTGGTCTGGTGGCACGCTCTCCAAGGGTCGTAAAAAGGTGGTCCATCAACCAACGGTACCAATGAGGTAACGGCACACCACCAACGTATGTACTGTTACGTACATCTCCCAAGCTTGAGAATCAGTGACGCCCGCGTCCCGGCTAGCGGAGCCGTTTGGGAACACGGGGGAGCCGCTCTTTCAACTCATTGCTTGGTTACCACCTCGCCGCAGCGCCTCCTCTGTCGTCATGTGGCGAACGGACAGGCGTTGTGATAGCTTGGAAACCTGAACTTCGGGAATCAGGCCTCCCATGGCAAATCATCGAATGGCCGACTGTTGAGCCGGGAGGGGGAATTGTTTACGGGATGGAGTTATCAGTCGCACACCTGTCGAACATTCCTTTTACAATATGCCGAGTAGTCTGGTAGATGAAACAAACGGACGATGCCCTGGACTTGTGCCAAGGAACACAGCGATGTGTACCTCCCGCAAGGTTCTCCATTGAGAAGCGTGGACAGGACCATCTCGTGGCTTGTGATGGTTCTTGCTTGGTTGTTTGGATGCTCCGTCGACGAAAATCCCATTCGACTTGAGAAATACACAATACTCCGTACGGCCTCTCCGACTCGTCGCTGCCGAATCTTGCCTGGAACTTTCCTAAACGCATAAGAGGCTACCACGGCTCAAATCAGCTTCCACATCTGTATCTCAATTTTAAATATCAATGCGTAGGTTGTGAGAGCAGGTTGGAGCATTGTCGCATGCACTAACAAACGCCGTCTGAGCACTAACAGCGTGCAATTTTATTTGACGCAGACTGCCAGGGCAGCAAGACACACCAAACGCAGGGAAGAGAACAGGAAGCATTGAGGTGCTGGCGCCATGCGCCATACACTGACAAAGAGGTTCCGCATTGGAAATTAGGCGGGCAGTCATGGACAATGATGCCAAGCTTCGATCGATTATCAGAGGCCCTGACTGGAATGGAAACATGAGTGGACCATCGCGGCGTTTACCCCTCACCCATGCTACCTTGGGCTGCTTCTTTGGGATGGGCCAGGTCAATGGATGTTGCTCACGCTCTCTCTCACTTAAGCCATCGTGGAAGTTCGATGCTGCGCCACAATCGCCACGCGCAAACGGCTTCCCCAGAGAGGCTGGCTGAGTGGCCATCATCATTAGGACTAATAACCACCTCGCGTATTTGCCCATTGAAGGACGGGTCTTGGCAGACAGACTCGACTACCGCGGGCAACATGTCACAAGAAGAGAAGAAAAAACAACAGAGAAGGCGGATTCTGCGAGTCGAGACGGAGTGGTGAATGAAACCCTCAAAAGTAAACGACCCCCGCTTCAACTAACCAGAGACACAGACGTATCCCTCGCCTCAAGCCACTTATAATTTATAAACAACTGCCTAGGGATCCGCTCCGGAGCAACCAGCCTGGAACTCTGGCAATAATAGCCAAACTCGAAAGAGCATAACCTCTGTGGAGATGGCCGAAAGCCTGATGAGTTTCAATAAATGAGCAACTCGCAGGCACTGACGCCTACTCGTTAAACACTTGTCTATTTCCGAGTATAAATGTCAGGCAAGAAAGACAACTTTCTCGTCGGCTACAAAGGAGTGTCTAATGGTACGATGAACTCATCACGCTCGCAACTATGCCCCGTAACTCGCAACTGGAGCGAAGAGCCAACAGGCCAGACAGCTATTTCCCGGTGTTTAGACAGCCAAAG